GTGGGGCCCGCCGTGGGGCCCGCCGTGGGGCCCGCCGTGGGGCCCGCCGTGGGGCCCGCGGTGGGGCTCGCGGTGGGGCTCGCGGTGGGGCCCGCGGTGGGGCTCGCGGTGGGGCCCGCGGTGGGGCTCGCGGTGGGGCTCGCAGTGGGGCCCGCCGCTGGCATCGTCCTGCACAATGTGGCTCGGAATCCGCTTGGATTTCGTACTGGGTTTTCCTGCTGCTGAGCCTGAAGGGGTGTCTTTTTCTGGTGTGTGTGTACATTTCCCCCTGGTCTGTGGCTGGCCTTGGAACGAAAGACATGGTTTTAAAAATTTTGACGAATTCCAATTCCTTTTTTCTTTTATGGACTGTTTTGGTGGTATTTCTCAGAAATCTCTGCCTCCCCCGAGGTCAGAGTTGTTCTCTGAGGTACTCAGGGAAGCGTAGTTTAGGATCTAGGATGAACCCAGGGCTAGCGGCTGCGAGGCACCGCTCAGAGCTGGGCGGCCAGCTGTCGTCCCCCACCGGACGGTCTTTGCTCCTCTTTGGGAACCCCCGTGTGGCTGTGTCCTGGGGCCGCGGCTCTCAGCCCCTCAGCCTGCTCTTGGCTGTTCAGGGCCCTCTACAGAGCCGCCTGCCGGGTGCTATGGGGCTGTCCCACCCAGCACCCTGCTGACAGGGTGTCAGGGAGGACAGGGTGGACAGGGTGTCCGTGGGGAGCCGCCTGCACGGGACCTCTCTGAATGGGTCAGCACGGGAAAGCCAGTTGGAGTAGCAAACGTGGTTTTTAGCTAAAACTGTCAAAATGCAGAGGCAGTTCAGAAGCCTTGTGTGATCTTGTGAATGGCCCCCCGCGGGGGGACCAACATGGCTGCACCTGCCCCCAGCTCCCCTTTGTGCCCCTCAGGGGGGTGGCCCTGGCCTGGCCCCGAGCGGCTTCCAGGCAGGGGCCTTGGGGGTCCTGCGAGTCAGAGCCAGGCCCTGAGCCTACGTCGCTGGGTGTCCTGGGGAGGCGCCCCCCCCCACCCCGTCCCTGCGTGGTCACGGCCCCAGGCAGGACTTGGCCCCTGTTATGGTTCAGGTGCCAAGCACGTCGTGCCCTGACTGTCCCTCCTGCGTCGGGTGGACGCCACACGCCCCGTTTGAGAACCAGATGGCAGCTCTGTTTTGACGTCAGTCGTTCATAAAGGATGTGGCTCCTTGAAACTTTTTCCAAGACAACTTATATTTGGTGCGGTTGCCAAGGCGACCGGCTGTCGGGCATAAACAGTGCACCACAGGGAGGGGGAGGGTCAGATTCTGTATTTTTACGGTGCACACGATTTCCGCTGTGGGAGAGAGGCGGGGGCTCCCCGATGTCAGTGGGGCCCTGGATGGGGGTTCCCCGATGTCACCAGGCCCCTGGATGGGGGAGGGGCCCCCCGACGTCACCGGGTCCCCAGGCAGGGCCGGGGTTCCCCGAGGTCAGCAGGTTCGCGGGGCGCTGCTGGGCAGGGCTGTGCACCGTGGAGGGGAGCGGTCCTGGCCGGCCCTGAGTGCTCTCTCCCTCAGAGGGAAGTCCTGCCGGACCATCACGTTCGAGCAGTTCAAGGAGGCGCTGGAAGAGCTCTCCAAGAAGAGATTCAAAGACAAGAGCAGCGAGGAGGCTGTCCGCGAGGTGCACAGGCTCATCGAGGGCAAGTCCCCTGTCATCTCAGGGGTGACGGTGAGCACGGCTGGCAGGGACTCCCCCGGGGGAGCACAGCCCTCAGGGTGTGGGGTCCGCGGGCGGAAGCGTTCATCCCCGGGGGCAGGCCGATGCAGCGGCCCACGGCCTCAGCCCCCGGGGCTCAGCTGAGCGTGCCCCACTCTCCCCCTTTGCAGAAAGCCATCTCGTCACCCACCGTATCTCGGCTCACAGACACGACCAAGTTCACGGGCTCCCACAAGGAGCGCTTCGACCCGTCGGGCCGGGGCAAGGGCAAGGCAGGCCGTGTGGACCTGGTGGACGAGTCAGGCTACGTGTCGGGGTACAAGCACGCGGGCACCTACGACCAGAAGGTGCAGGGGGGCAAGTAGCCAGCCCAGGAGCGGCCCCTCCCGCCGAGGCCTTCACCACCTCACACTTCATTACATTCCTGTGCTCCCCGGTCAGAACTCAGGAGTCTGGGGCCCGGGTGGCTGTGGGGTGACACCCAGGCCTCCCCCTGCCTGGGGGCCGGCGCACTTCTCTCTGACCCCCAGGTGGGGCCCCTGAACTCACTGGCCTTTTGTAACTCACCTGCCTCGTCCAGTGCTGGCCATCAACACGTGGCCTTTTCCAGTGTCTCCCGGGAACAGACCACACTGGCCACCCGGCTTACAGGCCAAAGGGACACTGTCCAGGTGCCGGTGGGCCACGGCGGTGAATGGGACAGACCCTGTCAGAGGTGGTGCCGACGGCCTGGCCTGCAGACCCCTCCCAGGAGCCTCCAGGGCGGCAAGAGCTAACTCGCTAACCGCACCGAGAATGAAGTGAGCCCAGAACAGGACCGTGCGGGCGTGGGGAGGTGGGACACGTGCTTGTACGTGCACACACACGCGCCTGCAAACGCACACCCACGTGCTCGCACACCCACGTCGCGTAACCAGGGCCGGTGGGCAGGGGGGACGGGAGCCGGCGGGAGGCTCCTCAGTGGACCAAAGGAGCGGTTTGGAGTGGGCGCCCGAGGATGTCGAGACACAAACTGCGGCAGGGCGACTCGCTCATTGCGCTTTTCGAGGAAGAAACAAGAAACGTGTTGATTCTCAGCGCAGCAGGGAAGACCGGCAGTGCCCTGGAGCTGTCCCTCTCTCTCCTGCCGTCCACGTCTCCGGGTCGGGGGCCGCTGCGGGCTGCGGCTTCCCACGCAGGCGCTCTGCTGGCAGGCGCGGGGGTCTTCGGCCCGGGGCCTGCCCCGCACGTGGTGCCCCGGGACTGCGGGTCCACGTGGCCGCTCCCTCTTCGCTGGCACCCAGCGCCAGCTGTGGGGACTCCGCCTCCGCCGCGAGTTCTCCCTGGCCTCTCCCAACCCTGCAAGGGCTGAAAACCACTCAACAGCCAGGCCAGGGGAGGGCCCGGAGGCCCACGGTGTTGCTGGAGTTTGGTTTCTCCGTGAGGCTATCGAGGCAGAGGACTGGGGCTCCTGTCACGGTGGCCCCACAGGGACGCGTCCCTTTGCATAAGTGCAGCCAAGCCCGCGAGTGACTGGTGGGGCTGTGCCGTCCTGGCCCTGGTCCTGGGAAAGGCCGCAGCGACGGGGGAGAGGCTTCCGGAGCCCACCTGCCCCACCGCTGTCACGTGCCCGGGGACAGCCAGCTGAAAAGACCAGCACTGTGGCGCCACGGGCACGATGGTCACGGCTGGAGCTGGGGACGGTCCCCGCACTCCCATCCAGCACGGCCCCTCCACCAGGCTCCTCGCGTGTGGGCCTCCCCTCAGACCCCTGGCAGGGCCTCCGCCCGCAGCTGGCAGTGGCCTCGCCAGCAGCTTCCCCCCGGGGATCAGGGACTTGCCAAGGCTCTGAGTCACTTGTAAAACCCATCGCACCGCTGTCCACTTTCTGCCCCGGGGATCCTGAGCTGCCTGGCAAGGCCTCCACGCCGCGGGGGGAAGGCAGGACTGCGTGTGTGCTGGGGGAGGGAGAAGCAGGCAGGACACGGGACCCCACCCTGGGCCCGCCCCCCGTCCTCTCCCAGGCTGGACCCTTTTGAGGACCCAGAGGCGAGGAGAGCGTGGGAAATGCACCTGCAGGCAACTGTGAGCGCAACAGGGTTTCTCCACAGCAAGCGCATCACAAAGCAGAAAGCTCCGTGTCCAGAGCTGAAGGGGTTTTCCTTCGTGGTTGTGGAGCAGGCCTCCCCCCCGGGCCCCACGAGGCACCGAGCTGGGAGCACCGAGCACCAGGGCGTGGGGCTCCTCCTCCTGCCCATCAGCAGCCGGGTCCCCAGTGTCATAGTTGGTGACGCGAGAATCCAGCAAGACCTTGGCCCCCACGGTGTGCACACCCCGCGGTGAGCCAAGGGAGGGGGGTCCCCGTGCCGCTGCCTGTAGAGGGAGTGGCTGTCCCCTTGGCCCCTCTCGGCCCCCCTTGCCCCCAGGAGACTGTCTCCTGTCCCGGAGCCAGGTCTCCAGGCAGAGCACCCCGGGAGACTGCGGTCTAAACAAAAGAAGCCGCAGAGCTGTCCCTGGGGACCCTGCCACGCTGCCCGCCCCCCAGCGGGAGGCCCCATTTATACCACAAACCAGTGCCGTGGCCTAGCGGTACGCGGCGGCCTGATGGGAGACCAGTGGCTCACTTCTGACGGACGTTCCCGGGTGCGTTCCTGACTGTTCCAACAGCACCTTCCCTTTGGGCTTGAGGGAGAACCAAGTGCACACAGCTTCCCCCCACCCCCCGGCACCGTGGCCCGGCTGGCCACACAGGTGCTGGGGTCTCGCCAGCCCCCTGCCCGTCCCGACCCCGAGGCTCCTCAGACAGCACCCTCCCCCAGCATGGCCCCCCGCCCCATGTTAGGCAGGAGGGAGAGGTGGGAAAGACTCTGTCCCGAGGCTTCAGGAGTCACCATTCCATCGGCTCGAAATCACCCACGCTGTCCGTCCCTGCACTGCGTGGCCCTGGGGCACAGAACCTGTGCTGGGGCCACACTGCACACACGCACACACGCACGCGCCCCCGTCGGGGTCTGAGTAGCGAGAACACGCAGGGTGTGTGTCTTTACTGCATGTTTTTATGCTTCTACTAACCACGGCCCCCTAAAAACCCCACGTCCCTCTGTGAAGAAAGGACAGCTCGGAGCAGGACACACGGCACGTTCTGTCCAGGGGACTGGGCGGCGTCTCCGTGTCGGGAGGCTCACCACGCCGAGTACTGGCTCATCGCTGTTGAACGTGCCGGGGCAGGCAACCAGGCGGCGGTCAGTAACACAGTTAGCTTGGCCAAAACGCACGTCAGACCACGCACGTTCGGAATGTTGTAGCAAAAGGTATATATTTATACTGGAGTATTTTGACACCTCTACCATCCTCAGTCCTGAGCTTGAGGCAGATGAGATCGGATCAGATGCGAGAAGCCAGGGGACAGGGACGCAGAGAAGGTGCGCTGCCCCGGCACCCCGTCTGTGCTGCTCTGCCTGCACGGCCCATGGTCGGAGCTCAGCACAGGCCGCGGGCGCCGCTCAGGCTGCTCGGGGGACAGGGGCTGTGGCAATGGCAGAGGCTGGTGCCCCCTTCCCAGCCCCTGGACTCCCCCGTGCTCAGGCACGGTGTGTGGCTGCTTCTGTGCCACCCCAAGCGGTGGGGAGGAAACCCAACATCTTGACCCTCTGGCCCTTTATGGGGAAAGCATGTGCTGGCCCTGCCCTGGGGACCCAGCCCAGCTCCCCTGTCCTGCAGCCCGCACCACACGGGACCCCCATCGCCACCTGTCCCACGCAGGCCGGGCTGCTAATTCAGCTGTACTGTGAAGTTGCCGATAGACTAGATGTCCTTAAAGCACTGACCCTGATTAGCCCCCACCTCTGATTTACTACTGAACACTTGGCGGAGCTGGGCGGTTCAGGGTGTGGCCCTTGTCCACAGGCGTGTGAACTGCGCGGCCCCAGGCAGGGCCGGGCAGTGGTCACCCTGACCTTTGAGATCCTTTCTCTCTCCCTTTAGACTCTTGAAAAACCAAATCAAGCCAAACAACAAAGGAAACCCGCACAACTTAAAGGAAACTTGAAAGGGATCGCATACTACTAGTTTGTACGAAGTTTTTTCAGGAAAGGGAAATGAATTTATATATATATGCACTATATTTTTACACTGTTTTGTTACCATTTGGGAGTTCTGAGTGTGTCACTTTATCAGCGCAATGGTAAGTAGTGTCCCTGTCGTGGGTGTCCCGACTGAGGAAGGCACGTCCGCGGGCATCTAAGAGCCGCACTCACCAGGAATGTCTCTGGCATCGGGGTGGCCCTCCTCTCCCTCCCCAGAGCGAGGCACGGCGTCACCCGTAGAGCTGCTGTCAACGCCTAGCTTGCAAACCTTTAGTGAAACAGCTCCTGTCTGTCTGCATATTTCTCCTCCTGTGTTCGCTGCTGCTAACATTGTGTGTCCAATCGGTAAAGTGATGAATAAAGGTGTTGCAATGTGGATCTCTGTTGCCCTCGAGCGCGCTCTTTGCCGGCAGTCACACCCGGGTACTGACACGGAACACAGAGGGCCCTGTGAGGGGCCGCAGGGCCGAGCAGGGGTGGTCTGACCCCGCACGGGGGGGGGGGGGCCGGGGGGGGGGGGGGGGGGGCACAGGCACCGCACACGACCACAGCAGCCCCGGGGCCAGGAATGAGGTCCTCAGATCAGTGAAGCAGTTTTCAAAACATGAAGATAAAGGCGTTCTAAGACCACAACACGGGGATTTCCACCAGCAGACATTAGCAGAAATCCTAGGTGCAGAAGGAACACGACCCCAGATGGAGTGTCTGGAGAACAAGCAGTAAATCCAGACGAACAGTGTAAGGAAGTGCTTGCCGTGGGAACAAAGATTTCACTCCAACACTGGACAAGCGTCCCACGCAGACCAGAGGGGGTGTCCAGGGAGGGCAGCGGTCCTGACCGGATGGGCGCCTCACGCCGTGATAAGGCACCAGAAAGAGCGCGCGGCTTCCAGTCCCAGAGAGGTGAGCACGGTGAGGAAAATCACCGGCCAAGGCGACAGCAGAGAGGGTGCGGTCACAGAAGAAACAGAATGACACACGTCAGTGCACGACGGCAGCTGATCCCGCAGAACAGAACAGCAGAGCAGAAGGGATCAGGTGATGTTTTAAAGCCGAATGTGTCCATAATTTCAGCGAAGATACGAAGGGACAGAAGTTGCAATACACGAAAGGAAGTGAGGAGAGCACGCGACCGAGCGCAGGGACACAGGCTGCTGGGACGGGACGCACACACCGAGCCTCGTCTGCGCCATGGGAGCCCTGCAGCTGGCCCTTGGGCCCCGTCTGCGCCATCACCGGCTAGGGCCGCCCCGGTGCGCCCCGGCTCGGGAGCTGAGGCAGAGCCATCTCTCACCTGCATC